ACTGGTCTTTTTATCTTTAACTTTAAAGACTTAAAGCTACTTGCTTTGAAGTTGCCATCGTTATTTGTATTACCCCTTACAAATTAAGTTTTCCATTGCAATTCCTAATTAATTAAAAAAAATCAGTTTGACCCAGATGCTCTGATTTCAAGCTAAAGCTCCTACCTCCAACCTCTCTGCTGGCTTCATTTCTGTGTTATCATTTGCATTTCAACCAATTTTAATTAGAGCTCTGAGTTGCTTCAGTGTGAGGGCTGCCTGCCAGCTAGCCCCACACTGAAGCAACCTCATGCCCCAGCCAGCCCCTCCGTAGCATGTTGATCTAGGTTGGAGTTAGCACCAGGCTGGCAGGCTGGCCCCTCGCCTTGCCATGGTCCCCTACCAGCTGGGGCTGCTCCGCACAAGCTCAACATGTTGCGATCCCAGGCACTGGTGGAAATTGGCATGCTCAGGAGTGATAAACTCCAGCACACTAATTTAACGCGTAGACATGTCCAAAGTGTAGCAATTAGGTTATTTGCTCTTTACTGGTTAGTTTATATTGTACTACCAAAATTATCCAGGTTTATTGCAGAGTATTTATTTCACAGTGTACTAATGCGTTACCTTTATTTCACAATTAATACATATGTCTGCTTTCCCAACATCAGTATATTATATCATAGGAAAATGCACAATTCTTCACACACATGATAAGTTACTGATATTTCTCTAAAAACATAAGGCACTTTTATTTGTTCTTTTCCACCACTCCTACCCTTGCCTGCTTTTTCCTAGCTGGGGGGTTGCTTGCGTTTATGTCTAAACACAGAACACGGTTGGCTCTAACTGTGGAACATTTTAGAACATTATCTGGCTATTAATTCAGCTTGGGTGTTTTGCAACTTTTTGGTTGGGGACATGTTCCAGTATTGATTTTTGTGTCATTTTTATTGGTCACTGTTACAAATCATACTTGGTTTTTAAAAAAAATCTGGTCTTCCAACACTCCTTGATATATATATATTTCAATAGGCTGGTTTCTTGCAGTTTTATATCCACGGGTACTACGTTCCTTACCAAAAAGCAGGGGGGGGGAGGCAGGGGAGTTCTGTTACTAAATTAGAAGAGGATGTAAGAAGCAAATACAGTTGATCTGACCTTGTATTGATAATGCAAACTTCTCTTTAATAAATTCACCCTCCTCTCTCTGTTGCTGCCCAGACATTAAATAATGCAGTAATAATGTAATACCAACGCATCCATTTAATGTCAACTAATATTAAATAATTTTCTGTTAGGCATTGTCTGGGCCAGCTTTTGTTCACATTGAAGTCAGTTGCAAAACTCCTGTGTATAAAATAGAATCAGGCTCAAGTCCCATTTTTGTACTCTTGTTGCACAGGAAGCCAAAAGCATACTCGATTGTATTAACAAGAGTATTGCTTGTAAATCAAGGGAAGTAAGTCTTCTGCTGTATTCAGTACCATGTCCAGTTTTGGGCCCTACAGTTCAAGAATGGGGAACAGATTGGAAAGTGTCCAGTGCAGAGTGAGATAAATGATTTGGGGCCTATGAAGCTTTATGAGAAAAGGCTTATTTAGTTTGGAGAAGAGAAGGCTGAGGGGGATTTGATAATGGTCTTCAGTACCTGAAGGGCAGTTTACAAAGAGGATGAAGATGGGCTTTTCTGTGTAGCTATAGCAGACAGGACTAAGAGCAATGGCCTCAAGCTGTAGCAGAGGAAATTTAAATTGGAGATTAGGAGGGACTTTAGGATGATGAGGGTGGTCAAGCACTGGCACAGGCTACCTAGAGAAGTTGTGGAATCTTCATCTTTGGAAATTTTCAGGCACAGGTTGGTCAGGCCCTTGGCTGGAATGGTTTAGTTGGGGGCAGTCCAGTCTTGAGCAAGGGGCTGGACTAAATGACCTCATGAGGTTACTTCCAGTCCTACTTTTCTAGGATCCTCTGATTGTAATAGAAATACAGTTTTGTAACAAGTACAGTTTATTAATACAAGGTTTAGTTTAGGATTGATGTCCATGTAGAATAGTAAAGGCAAGCTCTTATTTTTATGGAATAAAGATCTATTTTTTATGTTTGCTTTTTAATTGGTGGGATTAATGTTGTTTAATGGATGGAAATTATTTTTAAGAGAGGAACTGAATGGTTTGTAGAGGTGTAAATATGATGACTTTCCCTGGCTTGGCTTTCAACTAGAAACCTATTATCACCTGATGACTGTTCTCTATGTGAAATGTGTTTAGTAGTTTACCAGGTTCCCAATGGTTACTGTGTAATCCCCTCTATAAAAATACACAGGAACTGATAACTCGAGCTGTCTCATTGGAGAAGCCAAGAATGGAATGAGTCTTGAAACTGAAGTTATCCTCTTAGTCATACAAGTAGACAAGTCAACTTGCACTGCTATTACTCATGATGTAACTCCTGCTAATAAACAAAGGGATTCAGTTTATAGGATTCTATCTAGCACCCCTGTCAAGAAACATATTCACACTTAAAAAAAAAAAAATCTTAAATTGTGGACAGACTTAACTTTCCAGCACTTTAAAAGAAGATGGGAATTTTCTGCTTAGGAGCACACATCAGCCGCTCTGCTTTACTGGGATAAAACATGGCTAAATTGAGTAGTGTAACTTGGGGTGGGTAAGCAGGGTTCCAGCCCTGGGCTCCAACTTAGAAGGGGTGGCAGAATTATCGTGCCACCCCAGTGGAGCGTGCACTCAAGCAGGAAAAACAGTCCTATGGCATTGCTCTTCTAGCAGCAGCTGGTGCACAGCCATTGTATTGCTGCTGTAAGAGCTGCAGCCAGGGTGGGCAGACCGGCGGCAGCAGCAGCTGCAGTCTGGTTTTGAGAACCAAGCATAAGTAAGACTCCTGTTGCCTTTTGCTCCTGGAACCCCCACCCCTCTGGTGCTCTACGTATACTCTTAGAGGAGCATAGGTGCCCCATGTTTTGTGCCCTAGACAGAACTCTGCTGGAGAGCACTGGGGATGGAGGAGGGAGCTGAGTGCCAGGCAGGGAGAGAAATGGTCAGGGGCATCAGTCTCGCCTACTCCAGAGACTCAGAGATCCTGGCTGCTGCCACGTTGTTGTCTGCCCACCCCCAACTGCTGCTACCACAGCAAAGACTCCCTGAGGGAGTCATAGTGCCAGGTCTTAGTTTTCACTGAAGGACCTGTTAGCCTCTAAGGCTTCCTGTACACATTACAGGAATCACACAATTAACTGATTAAGTGTGCAATTACCTTAAGATCTGCTAAACCTGTTAAATACTTATCATGCCATAAAAAGCTCTAGCTATAAAGTTAGACCTTGAAAATGTGTACTAACTTTATAGCTGGTTGCTATTGAGCTTTAATTTGCTTTAATATGCAAGGGTAGTAGGGGCTCCCCTGCAGCTGGGAGTCCCAGCTGAGCTGATGGGGCTTCCAGCCACAAGAGTGCAGCATGCCCAACTGAGAGCTCAGCCCCAGCAGCTGCTGGCTCTGGGTTCCACCAGCACCCCCAAGCCTGGAAGATTGTAGCTGCACGTTCCTCACACCATCTGCCGAGACCCAGCTAGGTCCTGACACCCAGGCGGAAGGTCGTCCTAGCTTAGAGGATCAGAATCCAGGAGGAAAAGGTCGCAATTGAGATTGAGGCCCCCACCCATTGCAGGAAAGTGAAGGCCAGCCATCACCGGGGGAAGGGTTTGTCAGCAAAGAGCAGGTGCTGAAGGGCTTGCAGGCAGAGAAAGAGAGAATGAGTGAGCGCACAAAAAATGAATTGCAGGAGTTTTGTTATATTTGTTTTGTTTATGCACCCCCAATGGAAGTCACATCAGGGTTACTTTTTTATAGTGATTTGACTGTTAATGGACTATGGTTCAAACTTTAGCATAGGGTCTATTATTTCTATAGTAAACTGGATTTAAATTGTATTGTTCAATGTTAATTTATGAATATACAAACAAAACAAAATAAAAAATCCAGGAAGAATCATAAAGATAGTAGAACTATAGATTATTTCTTGCAGACCTATAATTGAAAATGTATTTAATTCCACCCTAAAATATTACAGACTTCTATCTATAAAGGTGATTTCTCATGCTTTTAAATTTTTCAGAAATCATAAATTATATTGACTGACCTATTCAGTTTTGAGAAAAGATCACATTTTTATTCAGAGTAACACTTTGACCAAAACCCAGAGGATATTTCTTTGAGTTTAAGACATTGACACTAGTGGGAACTTTGTAGAAGATAATTTAGGAAATTTATAATCACAATGGGTGCATCTGTACATGCTATTAAGGCGATGTGATAAACTTCAGCTCAGTTCGCGCCTGAGTTAACTGCTCTCTGGCTCAGCATCTGCGTGTGTGCCTGGATCAGTAACATTTTGAGCCAGGGCAGAGGAGCCCTTGGTGTGCAGCAGGCTTGGGGGTCAGCTGCGGGCTCCATGCATGGAGCGGCAGAGGGGTTGGCCGGGGCATGAGAATGCCCAAAGTGCAGAGCTGTGTGACTGATCCCTGAGCCTGCTGCCAGCCCAGGGCTGCTCCATCCTGGCTCTAAGTGCTGCTGTCCCAGGAACCATACGCACTTGTGTTGTAGCACAGCAAATGACTCAGATAGTACTGTCCCCAACAATACTATCTTATGGCAGAGTTAATTTACTGCACCCTAATGCTGGCACTTGTGTAGACGGTGATGCTTTACTGCAGAGCTAATTAATCAGCTCCACAGTAAAGCACGTGTAGTAATAATAAGTGTAGAAATAATAGTTCAGTTTCCTATGCACTTTATTTTTATCTTTGGGAATCTGTTTCAGTTTATCTTAGCAACTATTTACAATTAATTTATGTATGTTACAATTTCTACTAACATAAAATACTCTCGCTGCATGGTTTTAAAGTAAACAGGCTACTTAAGAAGTATATGTTTTGAAATATAAATTGCTAAGTAAATACAGGCAAACTCTCTAATGGCATTTTCTTTTTTTTCCTTCTAACTAGAGTTTGTGTGTGTTCACACCACCTGGAGCTAAGGAAGGACAACCCCGACTCATTCCTGCAGGGCCGATTGCCCTTGGCACAACCATTTCTGCATATGTAGCCAAATTCAGAAAAACACTGTTAGTAGAAGATATTCTAGGGGTAAATTACTTTTTCTTTTTAATAAGATATGTCCAAGTTACAGTTAAGAAGATGTCTTGTGGTTTAAATGCAAACTGAACTAAATATATACTAAATCATTTATGTAGTTACTGGCAGTGTAGGACCAGAAGTAATTTTCTGGAGTATTTTATTAAAAATTCTTCTCTACTTGATTTTTAAACTGCTTGAAATTGTAAACATAGAAAAGTTTTGCTATATAATAAAACACATAGCTATTATGCAGGAAACATAAGCAAAAATTTTACCCCCACCTTCCAGAAAAGAAAATATACTAAGCCCATGTGATAAGATGATTAACATACATACTTTCACATAGTCGATCAAATTTTGATTTAACTGTACTGTACTACTCAATTCTACCATTTTGACAAGCAGTTTAACCAAAAATCTGTTTATTGGGCTAGATTTAGACCTGTTTACAGTAGAAGAATTCTGGCATACCTCCAGTAACTTTAGTCAAGTTACTTCAGATAATACACTGTAATATAAGATCTGATCCTTTTGTCTGTAAATACAATTTCTACTGACACTGAAGTTCTTTTAACACAAATCTTTTTCATTTCTAGTTCTGATCTATCAAATTAAATCAAATAGATAAACATTTTTTTTTGTTACTATAAAGCAAGTTTGAATATTTCAATCATGTCACCTCTTACTTTTGTTCTTTCAAGACAAAGTGGTCTAAAAGTTGTCCGTCTCTCCTCTTATTTAAAATCTTCCATTCTTCTGAGCTGCTTCCTGTATGTATAGTACCTATCTTCACATCTCATGATCAAATTGGACAGTACAGTCCATAGTGTTTATGACAGAACTAGCCAATTGCCTGTTAAGAATGACGGCGGGGGGGCGGGGCGGGCGGCATGCAGTGCCGCCACCTAACGCCCCGTGCTGCCGCTGTTCTGCTGCTTGCAGAGAGCAGGATGGGGGAGCTGAGGCCAGCGCTGCTGTCCTTAGCTCCCCCACCCTCTGTCCGGTCCTTGGCATGGCTTTGGAATCACACAGGGGGCGAGGCCAGCACACTCCAGTCCCCGTTGTCCCCCTCTGCCTCCAAGGAGCAGGGGAGGTGGCCCCTCAGTCTCCACTGCCATGGCAGCACTCTGCTGTCTGTCCCTGTCTGTGTAGGGCACTCTGATTGGCTGCTGAGATGATCAGAGTGCGAATAAAGCGTTATGGACGGAGAGACAGACTTAGGCTTTTATAATATTAGAATATATATATAAACATATATATATGAACATTATTGCATGAACCTAGGTCATGTGCGTAAAATGGCAGGTCATAGAAACTTAGGGTTGGAAGGGACCTCAGGAGGTCATCTAGTCCAATCCCCTGCTCCAAACAGGACCATCCTCAACTAGATCATTCCAGCCAGGGTTTTGTCAAACCAGGCCTTAAAAACCTCCGGGGATGGAGATTCCACCATCTCTGTAGGTAACCCATTCCAGTGCTTTATTACCCTCCCCATCTGAGTTTTTTTCAGATTGAATGGGGTATAGGAAAGAATTCCTGTCACAGGCTTAGTTGAGAGAAACCACTTTTCTTTGCAATACTGGTAGAGTTTGGAAATTTTTGGTCTGGGGTCATGTCTCCATGTACCTTATAGCACCTAGTGGGTGCCTCAGGATTCCTTACTCCTACAGAGAATATTGTCTGCCTGGTAACACTGAAATTTGAGCAGTTCAATTCGGAGTTACCAGTGCCCCTTCTTCCAGACTGGATTTAACAATAAAGTACTTTCCTGCCTTTGTGAGATACTGGATAAGTAAGATTTGTATATGTAAACAAACTAGGGAGAGGCCTTTTGTGGGCTTCGTAATTTTTTTGGATTCTTGTCTGTAAAGGGCTCTTCTTGCTGATTTAGTGAGCTAGGAGAAAGAAAAAAGTCGATTTATCTTTTATATTCATGCTGTAACATCTACATTCTATCAAACTGTTTGCACTTTTTAGGATGAACGATTTCCCAAAGGTACTGGACTGGAATCAGGGACTCGTATCCAATCTGTTCTTTGTTTACCAATTGTCACTGCAATTGGTGATCTGATTGGTATCTTGGAGCTTTATCGGCACTGGGGCAAGGAAGCCTTCCATCTCAGTCACCAGGAGGTGAGGCCTAAACTGCTGCAGTTGGTTCCTAAAGACATTCCCCTCCCTAAATGGGGGTGTCAAATATTCCTTACCTAGAACTTCTTCTCTGCCCCCTGTCCATCTGTTTTTTTTAATTTTTTATTGTTGTTGATTAAGATGGGTAATTCTCAGTGGCAAATGGTAATAATCATTCTCTACACATAAGTACATTGGGCATCTCACATTTTTCTAACTGTTTTATTCCATCCTGTGGGAAAATAATTTCAAGCATGTCATTATCATTTATTTATTGAATAAGGGTTTAAAAATAACAGACGTAGAATGGGGATTACAACAAGTGTGGGTTCATGAGAGCTCCTGTTGTTACAAATGCAAAATGAAATTGCTCTTACCAAAAAGGGGTATGGCCAGCTAACTTGCATTTCAATTTTAAGTTTTCTATAAAGCTATATTGTGCTGTATGGCAAAGTCTCTTTCTTCACTAGTTGACTCTGAAAACTTTCATCCCATTGAATAATTTCTGTCAATAAAGCCACATTTCAGGAAAATCCTACACTTACATTGGTGTGTACAAGTTGTGCTTGTGTTCTATGATTTATCTTCATGTTTGGGAACTACTTTACATTAATCACTACAACTAATAATTCATGAATGTCCTATTTAAAAAAAAATGGTAATGTTGCCTGAAGTATTTTACCAGTACATCTTTAAAATAAAGATTTAAGTATGCACTATCAGGTTCCTTTCAGTTACATTTTCCAAAAAGTTTTAGAGCACATGTACCAGTTAAAAATAGCTGGAGTATCTTCCATAGAGGAAAAGGGGTATGTTAATAGAATGTATGGCAATGGACCTTCAGCAGTGTTCTGTTAAGTTTGTTTCCAACAAAATCTCTATGCTTCAAGGACAGGAGATGATTCATGGTAGTGCATTTTATTTAAACTTAGTTAACTGCAGTTTACACAGCATTGGTGTGAAATTTTGCCTTGACATACATACCTGAAACAGTAGTCTTGTATTTAGTGTTCATATTTGATTCTTCTGCAACTAAAATGGTAGTGACAGGAGTATTTGTTTACAGCAAAGGTTTTTTCTTGAAAGTAGTTGTTTCTGAATGAAGGCATCATTATTGGTACTATTTCATTGTGATGGGTTATTTAATTGTATGACAGAAGCATGTTAACAGCGTACCGTATGTAATTTTTAAAGCCCCTCTTGCAATCCAGGAAGGGCTGCTTCTGCCCTTATTATACTGCCATGTATATTATGCTGCCATTATTAGATGGTTGAGTCCTCGTGCCCCTTCTATGCAACTCAGTTGATAAAAAAGTTGTGATAGTACAAAACACTTGAGCAGTACTTTTTGTACTGTTGCTTCCTTGTGACTGGAATACTGTTTCTTAAAAGTAAAGTACTAATAGACAAGTTACTTACCCTAAATGAATTTACTTTCCCTAAATTAATTGTCTACCCATAACCATAGTTCCATGTCTTGTCTGAAATATCTCAGCTGAAAAATGTTCACGGTATTTAAAGGTACTTAGAAGTAGATTGAGAAAAATCTGATAAAATTGGCTCAGATGTTAAAACTTCTCATCTTTTCTTTAGGTTGCAACAGCAAATCTTGCATGGGCTTCGGTAGCAATACATCAAGTACAGGTAAGTCTGGTTTTTTCATAGCTTCTTAAAGGGAGCATAGCATAAATCTAGAAATCATGGAGATTATTTTATGGTGTAGAAGGTTCAAGGCAGTAGAAGACTTGATTTCTCTAGTCTTCCTGTAAATCTCAGCGCTCATTCAAGTAATATACTGTTGTAAATTGTGTGCCTAATATAAAATGAATATGAAATTGGGTATTTGCAGCTCTTCAGTGAGATAGATACATTTGAAGCTAGACACCCCAGCCTGTTTTCTTTTTGATACATTTTACACAGCGTTATAATACATACGTAACTTGCAATTGTATATTTTTATGCAGATTAGGCAAGTAGAACACGTATCCTAAAATTTCACTCTTGACTCCTGTGATCTTCTGAAACAATAGTATGTTCTGTTTTCCTCCAGGTGTGCCGAGGCCTTGCCAAGCAGACTGAACTGAATGACTTCTTGCTTGATGTATCAAAGTAAGTGTGATTTGCTCCAGTTACAGGCTCCTTTTTAAATTTTGTCCCTTTTTTCTCCCTTTAGTTCGTATTTTTGCGCTTCCCCTCCATTGTCCTACTAGGTTGTGGGTTTCCTCTCTGCAGTTAATATTCATTTAGTTACTTATTTAATGATGCTTAAGGTTTTCTTTTGCACACTGTAGGACTTAGAATTCTGTTTTATTCATTATACATACAATAAATATTTTTGATGAAGAGATCCTGACTGTTCATTGTGTCATCATTTTCAAACTAAAGACATTGGCCATCCATTTTACTCTTGCCTTGTAGAAGGACATAAGATACTTTTTAGATTGTGATTGGAATGAGTATACAGGACATTTCATTCTTTTTTTATCTCTGTTAAAATGTTTATATGGGATTCAAGTTCATCTCTTAAATTAAAATAGTTGTTTAACAGGAAAAATAGGCAAAGAAATAATAAACACATGTAATATAATCAAGTTACTGTGGTTATTGGAGTCAGAGCTGACATTTATGGGCCTTTGTAAGTGTATAACTCTTTATGCTAGGTCATTTGGGGGCATTTTTTGCATTTAGTTTCTTTGTTTATTTTAAACCTAGAAAGATGGAGAAAATAACTATTTTTAATATGCTTACTAGTTAAACAGTGCCATTCTGGCTTTGATTTTTACATTGCATTAAATTGTGAAAACAAAAATAAATAATTGTATTTGCAAATGTCTGTTGGAATTACTTGGCTTATACTCTTGTTTTCCTTTAATCCACATTCTTTTCTGTCTAACATTAAAAATGATCTGCTACTAAAGAATCAAAAATTGAATTTGTATGTCATTTATGATGAACATTTGTAGATGAAATAATTTTATTTGTATTTCTTTACTAAAAGTTTTACAAGATGATGGTCTTTTACCTTAAGACTGGTCTGTCTTGTTTTTTCTAGAGGCTCCATTTATATGCTCAAAGTATCATATTTGTGTGGTACTTTTTTCTTTTATTTGTCATGACAAATGCATATCTTAATTTGAAAACCCAGGAAAATATTCTGTAAAATGGAAGTTTTGGATACTTTGAAATCAGTATACATGTTTTCAGTTATCTGCTTATTGATTGTCTCTCTATTCCCTAATCATATTATCAAACCTTTAAACAATGGAGGCAAGGGGTGATCAATAAATGAAAATACAAAATGCTAATAAAGTTACAGGTGTTGTAGTCTATACCATGTGGCTCTATCAGATTTAATTATTCTGAAGAAACCCTATGGGTGACTTAAAGGATTGAGGATATATGTAGATAGAACAATGCAGTGTATTCAAGGCCTGTCATGGTTAAGATTTGTGACTGGTCTTAAGGACTGTCAGACAGAGCAAGAACAACCAGAATTCCTATCAGAAAGCCGGACACTTCATCTTCTTTATCATGGTGATTGATAGTAAATCTGAGGGAGGCAGCTAGTGTTTGCTCTGCTGCTTTCATTTGACAGTTTAAATCTCAGCCAGAGCCCATAGTGCATCGCTTTGGCACTGTAGTCCTTCCCTAGCCCAAATTATCCACTTAGGCAATAATATTCCCTGAGACCCCCACCAGAATAAGGGCTATAGTTGTGTTGCACTGTTGTCACTTCCTCCAGGTAACCTTTTCCCACTAGGGAACCTATTTCGTTAGAACCGTCAGCAAAGCTAACCACACTTTATCATGCAGATGCATGACAAATAGAACCAAGGAGGTGATACTTCCCCTTTATGCGGCATTGGTCAGACCACAGTTGGATTACTGCATCCAGTTTTGGGCACCATACTTTAAGAAGGATATTGATAACCTCGAGAGCATCCAGAGGAGGGCCACTTGTGTGGTTAAGGGTTTGCAGGCCAAGCCCTGTTAGGAGAGACTAGGGCACCTGGATCTTTTCAGCCTCCGCAAGAGAAGGCTGAGAGGTGGCACAGTGGGTGGGAGCCAGGGCACTTGTTTTGCATGCGTGGCAGGAAAAGGGGCTGGGCTCGGCATGGGAGAAGCTGGGCTGCCCATACAACAGATGAGGGGGGAGCTGCTCACACAACTCGCACAGCAGGTGAGCTAGGATGCTGTGCTGCATGTGCGGTGGGAGAAGGGGCTAGGCTACTCTGGGCGTATGGCATGGGAGGAAGCCAGGCTTCCTGGACTGCAAGCAGCAGTAGAGGGATGATCTGCTCATGTAGTGTGCCAAGCCAGGAGAGGGGGAAGGTTGATCAAGTGGCAGGTAGAGCTGCGCTGCCTGCAAGGCAGGGCAGGGGGGGTTGCCTGTGTGGCGCACAGTCCCTGGCTGCCAAGAAGCTGGACAGCCCTGCTGTAAGGTATCGAATGTAAAATGCTACGCAACCCTAAACCTAGTTGAGTTTGGATTCATCTGGAGTCCCACAGTGGATTCATAGATGCTAGGGTCAGAAGGTACCTCAACAGGTCATCGAGTCCAACCCCCTGCCCTGGGCACGAAAAAGACGTTTCCAAGAATTGCATGAAGATGTAGGGCAAGTAAAATATTCTGCACCCTTTCTGAAACCTCAGAGAAAATATCCTGATGACTGTGCTTGCCAACAATTTCCTCATTGAATAGGGAACTTTCTTTCCATAAAATATAATGTACAGACCATTTTTTAAGACAAACTATGTTAACTACTTTTGTAGCTAGCACAAGCCTTTCACCAGCAACTGATCTGTTTGTACAGTTCCTTCCACAAGTTCTCAGTTTTGTGGATGGAAATTAATGTTTTGCTTTTCTTTTTTCTTTAGTTGCCAATAGGGATATTCCTAGCCATTGATAGCTTGTATCATATTTATGTACTTTAAAAACCCCAGCATTAAAATAATATATAACATAATTTTAAATGTTAAAATATTTAAAAGTGAGAAGTACTTTCAAAAAGGTTTTAGTGGAACGCAGGGCTTTCCAACTGGCAGCCAGCAAGGGGTTAATGCGAAGCTTGTGGGCTCTTGCCTGGCCACTGCTCCCTTGCCCTGCCTGGCTTTTGCTTCCTCCTCCTACTCTTAAAAAATGGTCTGTACATTATATTTTATGGAAAGAAAGTTCCCTATTCAATGAGGAAATTGTTGGCAAGCACAGTCATCAGGATATTTTCTCTGAGGTTTCAGAAAGGGTGCAGAATATTTTACTTGCCCTACATCTTCATGCAATTCTTGGAAATGTAAGACTAATTTATTACATATTTTCTTTCTGTTCAGCCCAAAACAGAAGTGAGCTGTATATGTGTTCAAGGCCATGGGGTAACATCTTTCTGTGCTGGGAACATTGTAATCCAAAAATTATTAAGTCTGGGCACATAGAAGATTTAGACATCTTGTACTAATAATTTTGAGCCTTATCTTTCAATGCTTTTGACTGTCCTTGGACAGTTACCACTTCATAGAGAGAGAGATCAGTTCTACTTCCTTGCAGCCTCAAGGTCAGTCTTTCTCTCCAACCACAACATGCAACACCTAGGTTAATAGAGAATAGCCATTAAGTGTTTTCTAAATTGTGCTGAAGCAATCTAAGTAAGATTATTTACAGACTCTGTATCTCTTTTTCTGCAGAACCTATTTTGATAACATAGTCGCAATAGATTCTCTACTTGAACATATAATGGTAAGCTATGTGCTTTCACCTTTAAATCAGTCTTTCAGAGGATTGTCAGACATAATAGTTATGCCAGTAAAACTGGGATCCCAGTGTAACTTATGTTTTTGTGCTTCTATAGTAGTGTAAGTGGAGCAAAACCATTGCAATGGTTACTGTTTTCATTCAGGGTTAAAGGTACAGTGATTTATCTTGCTTATCCCACTACAGGAGCAGGCAGATATAACTGTTAAATAGAAACAACTAATGCACCCTCATAAGCAGCAACTCCTTTTCCCCTTTTAAATTGGTTGAAACTTATGCTTCTCCACAGCCTGAGTTTTGTTTTCTTTGAATTGAAGTGCAGCGTTGTTGAACTTCATAAGCTGTTTATAATGAATTAGTAACATATGCAATGCTGGGGATGCTCTATATGAAAAAAAGAGAGTGAGTGCGTGCTACCTTGGTTTTATCACAGAACCTACATTTCTCAGCTTTTGTAAGTACCACAGAGTAAATGTTGATTGAGTTGTTAGACAAAAAGAATATTTTAACTTTGGATGGGGAAGGAAGGTTTTTCTTTTCATTTCATTTTGGCCTCTCCTTTTATTGATTCTTTTAAATCACTGTACACTGCATAGACATCATTCAAAAGCAATGGCAGTCCAGGACAGAGGAAATGGTCTGTGTGAGGCCATGAGGAAATAGCGAGCATTACCATAAAAGTGTTTGTTTCATTTACAGGGTCATATGTACAAAAGAATCATTATATCCCAGTTAGGATATAAAATGATTAAGGTTCTATAATTATGGAGCTGCACAGTCATTACAGCTTGTTGAACAGAAATCAGTAACAGAATGTTTGTTCAATGAATTTCACCTTTTTTTAGTTCAGGAACAAATCACAATTTTATTGAATTTGGTCATTATTTGAAGTTATTCACTGAACAGCTTCCACAAACATCAATGAGTGTGGTGATAGCTTATTCAGAGTACTCTTTGATTGATTGAAATTGCTATTTAGTTTTGGACATGTTGCATAGTATGCTTTTGTTCTCTGTTTGGATAAATGTAACTCTGTAATTTTTTTGCTTTTGTGCTAATACTTGTTTGATAGCATATTTAAATATAACAGTCTCCAGTGTTTGCCCTAATCCTGTCAGTGATATTGTTAGCTAGAATATTTACAAAAAGCAAACATGCCAAGAATGCATATAATCCAAAGCAGATTTGTTTAGAAATCTGAATTAATATTTATGAAAATGGTTTCTCAGTATTTATCGAATTCTAGTTACTATGGCAGGCAAGAATTGCTGTTTTCTTTGCATAAGAAACACGTCTCAGTTTCAGCAGCTTTGTCCTTTCCTATGTGCACAAATTGCTTAACAGCATTGTTTAACATTTTAAAAGAACTTTGGTAACATAATACAGCATTTAATGGCAGACAATAGTATTCTTTTCTATGAACAGGCACCAGGTGGAAAATACACACATGGCAATACCATATGCTTTTTCTTTCATGTTCCTTCACAACACCTGCTATCTCAGCATTCTGCTGGATAGCCTGCCTAGATGCTTCACACTCAACTTCCTTTGTAGTCTGTGCCAATTTGCTGCTGCTTGATTGATCTACTAGTGTGGACATCCACTGAAATTCTTTTGGAGACTGATTATACCGTTTGTATGAGAATCAACCTCCTCTCCCTAGTCCAGATCCTGGTGATTGCAGTGCAAGATTTGGCTCGTCCTTGTGTCAACGATAGTAGCATTTTTCTATTTGCTTCTCTTTTCATCTCTCTTATCTTTTACTTAAACTTTTCAATGAATTTAGTTCTGGTAAAAAGCGTTGGATTGGAAACGCTTGAAAGTAAAGATTTAACTACAGAAGAGGTGCAGAGTGAGAAGCCAGAGTGCAAGTGTCCCCACAAACTACTTCACAAGTAGATTTCAGTACAGTACTGGTGATCTGTAGAGAGTTAGGAAGTAGTTTGGTCCCTTTTAGTATCTGGCTTCTCAAAGAAAGCCTTCCATAGAATCATAGAAAGTTAAGGTTGGAAGAGACCTCAGGAGGTCATCTAGTCCCACCCCCTGCTCAAAGCAGGAACATCCCTAACTGTATTATCCCAGACAAGGCTTTGTCTAACTGGGTCTTAAAAACCTCCAAGGATGGAGAGTCTACCATCTCTCGAGGTAGCCTGTTGCAGTGCTTTGCTACCCTCCTCATGAGAATGTGTTTTCTCATATCTAACCTTAACTTCCCTTGTTGCAACTTGAGAGCATTGCTCCTTGTTCTGTCATCTGTCACCACTGAGAACAATCTAGCTCCATCCTCTTTGGAACCACCGTTCAGGTAACTAAAAGCTGTGATTAAATCCCCACTCAATCTTCTCTTCTCCAAACTAAATGAGCCCACTTCCTTCAGCCTCTCCTCATTAGTCCTGTGCCTCACCCCCTAATCATTTCCATTGCCCTCTGCTGGACTCTCCAATTTGTCTATATCCTTTTTGTAGTGAGGGGCACAAAACTGGACACAGTACTCCAGATGTGGCCTTACCAGTGCTGAATAGAGGGGAATAATCACTTCCCTCATTTTGCTGGCAACACTCCTACTAATGCAGCCTCATATGCCATTAGCCGTCTTTTCAACAAGGACACACTGTTGGTTCGTATTTAGTTTATTGTCTACTACAACCCCCAGGTCCTTTTCTTCAGAGCTGCTGCTTAGTCAGTTGGTCCCCAGCCTGTATCAGTGCATGGGATTGTTCTGAACTAAGTGCAGGACTTCGTACTCGTCCTTATTGTACCTTATAACTTTTCTTTTGGTCCAGTCTTCAGATTTTTCGAGGTCTCTCTGAATCCTAGCCCTACGCTGCAGTGTATCTACTACTTCCCCCAGCATGGTGCCATCTGCAAATTTCCTGAGGGCGCACTCTATCCCACATTCCAGGTCATTGATGAAGGTATTGAACGAGACAGGCCCAAGGACTGACTACTTGATACCACCTGTCAACTAAACATCAAGCCATCGATTATTACCCTTTGAGCCCAATGATCCAGCCAGTTTTCTTTCTACCCTGCAGTCCATTCATTCAACTTGTATTTCCTTAGCTTGCTTGCAGGAATGTTGTGGGAGACCAAATGAAAAGCCTTGCTAAAGTTAATGTATCCTTTGGCAATCCTGTTAACTGCCTGTTCCCCAAATAGTAGCTTTTTAAGGAGGAAGGTTTGATAAAAATAGGCCCTGACATAAGGTAAATGAAACCCTTTTGAATTTTTTTTTTTTAGTATCAGGTGCTATATAAAGCATCAGGATGGTTTCAGAAGGGATATGTGGAAAACTTCTGTATTGTAGTCCCAGCCATTGCCAATGCAGTTTAGATTAGGTGATCTGTTTTGAATGAAGAAAGAAATAATGAGAATGGCCATACTGTTTACCTTCCATGGAGGGGAATGGTACACTGGGCCAGGTTCCCAAACTTAATTCTTTCCCTTTGACATCATTCTTATGGCATGAAAAATTTAGAAAGCAGCTGGGTCTCTACAGCTGTGTATTCTTGCAATGTGGGGGAAGTCTCCAACTGGTCTTGTGTTCATATAGGTGGCTTCTGTGTAACAGTCAGTGTAAAGGGCAGCATTAAAGCTGGTTAATATCTGGTTTTCCACCCTGCAAAAAATGTCAAGATTCCACAACATTTTCCTATTTAATATTAAGATATAACCAAGACCTTTTTGAGTTTTTTTGCGAAAGCTACAATGGGGAAGATAAAGAGAAATAGCTTGTGCACTTACACAGGATATAGAAAATGCAGGTTTAAGTCCCTGCATTCCTGACATCTAGCCAAGCACCTGACACTGGTGTTTAATCAGTCTCACTCTCTGACTCAGCGAATATGTAATGGAATGACTCCAACAGAAGATATTAGTGAAAGGCACCACAGAATATCCTTTAGGGTGGTGGTTAAGGCACTCTCCTAGTAGGTAGGTAACTGAAATCTTCCTGAGTTATGCAGTCATAATTTTAGTCTTATGCTTCTCAAGCGAGTGCACTTGCCCTTGTCTATTCTTGGTTTTCTCCCTCCTACGTTTTGAGCAATAGCTGTCCTGTGTCTGAGAAACCTTCAAAAGGCAGGTTTTGATGAAATTGCAAGATTCATTTCCAGTCAAGTAGCTTTGTTTGGCCAAGAAAAAAAAAATAGAAATTTCTTGAAGAGTTTAAATAGGATGGAAAAAATGCAAGAACACTCTTACTAGCAAGTGATGCTTTATACACTGCAGTTATCTGGCACAGAATCAAGGCGTTGCAACCAGGTATGTTGTAGCCAAGGTTGTGTCCAGTGAATATAGATGCTGCTGAGAACATGTTGCATAAATGCTACTTTTGCCTCTTTACGAACAGATCCTAACTTCAGAATCACACCGTTCTCCAGAGAATGTTTAATATATGCAAAACATGCATAACAAAAAACATGTCAAAATGTAGATCTCTTAAAATATGGTTCATTTGTCTGTTGTAAGTGGACATATACAGGGGTATTTTTGGCACTGGCAATTTCAGTAGTGTAACTGGGGGTGAGTGACTAGGGCATGAGACCTTGGCACTGATTTTAGGGGAAGGCGAGGGAAGGAGGAGTGGGTGGGCATGTTGGACTGGCAGCTGGAGGCCTATATTTGGTATGGGCTTACTTTGGGACTGTTAGCTTCAGCCATGCAGATCAGAAGCAAGAGTTTCCTTGTCAGCTTCACTACCCCTACCTCCGCTGTGCAGCTAACAGCGACTGCATTTACCCTCTCACAGCTGCAGCCTAAATGAGGCTTTTACAGTCTTGTTCTACATGACACAGATCAGTGCCAGCTGGTAGTTGTTGCAACAGCAACATCTCCTAAGGAGGAAGAGGAGTGAGAGCATAATAGCTGGCCCTAATCCCTAGAGCCCTGGGGTCACTGTTCTGCAGTCCCTTAACCCCATTGTCCCCTCAACCCCATTTTTCTGCACTCAACTCAGCCCCCAATCCTCATCCTCTACTCTGCCTAGGGCACAGAAATAGCTAGCTATCCCTCTGGACAAAGCAAATCAGGAGGAAAAGGTCATAGGTGTGTTTGTGTTTTGTCCAGCTCATTCAAGTTCGGAGGTGGCTCCTGTAGCGCAGTTTTGACCTCTGCTCTTTAAATCCTTTTAAAATTCTGGTTAGGTTCATTACTACTGGATGTTAGGACATCTGTGTCTTTGCTATAGAAGCTTGAAACTATACACACAAGGCCTTGCATTTGCATAAGAGGAATATGCATCCATTATATGTATACTTTGGTAATCTGTATTTTCAGATGTCAAATTATTTTATATGCAATATCAAATTCTTTGACTTCATAATGTTATGACTTCTTTTTGTGCAAACGAATACACTGATTTCTGTGCTACACAATACATTTGAGAAGCATCATACTATAATAATATTTCTTTACACATGCTAAAATCAGGCAGTATTATCCATTTGAATAGTCAGTGTACACTTGTTTTGCTTTTTTTATTTGCTGCAAACTAATTTTCTGAAAAGTGACCCCACATACTATCTTGCAAGAAGTGTGGGGGAAGTGTTAAATGGTTCTTATTTGAAGTGAGAGGGGGAATTCCAGAGCTGAGACTTTCACTCCATCCTTAAGTTACCCTGTTTTGTCTGGATATTTCAGAACTGTTTGAAAAGCATATTGATTATATACCTGATAGAGTACTTGAGACTGTATATGCCAAGTTATTTTTCAAGGTTTGTGCAGTTCAAAAGTTAGATGTGTTTTTGGCTAAATGAGTTTTGTATGAGCTCCAGTACCATATACACAGATAAGGATAGGGTAAAGGCGAATCTCAAGTCCAGACCACCTTGTTTTAAATAAAGTATTTAAGTTGTAACCTAAATTGTTGTGGCTAAGAAGAAAGCTTGTGGAAACAGGTTTTTGTGTTGGAATAAGCTATTAAAGCTTTAACACTTGAAGGGCTTATCTTCTTTTACAGAGTAGTGACTGAAGTTCGTCTGAACCTCATGATGATTAATTTTATATTTGTTCTCTATCTGTAGATATATGCAAAAAACCTGGTGAATGCAGATCGGTGTGCACTCTTCCAGGTTGATCACAAGAACAAGGAGCTGTACTCAGATCTTTTTGATATTGGAGAGGAAAATGATGGGAAACCTGTCTTCAAGAAGACCAAAGAAATAAGGTAGGAGCAGCAAAAGAATGCAACTGCTTTGTAATGAGATGTGCAGGTATTCGGTTATCCAGTGTCTATGCCTATTTGCAGGTACCCTGACAATACTTGTCATACTGTGATATCATTCCCACCAGGACCCGCCTCCAGAAGGTAGTACTTCTGGGAATGACATTGCAGTGCCATCGAAACAGCGTCTCTGAAGCTTTAACGTCACTCCTGGAAATGCCGTCTTCCGGAGGCGGTCCTTTTGGAAATCATGTTGGAAAAAAACACTTGTGCTCAAAGGTAGGTAAAGGTGCAGGTGTGAAAATAAACCACCTATCCACAGTTCTGCAAGTCAAGGATTTTTATACGAGCTCTCAAGATCTATCAGGCAAATTCTAATGGATAGTTGCTTTTGGTGGATTAGACATTCACAAAAAACTAGTGAGATCGTATCAATCCTTTTAAAATTTTCAGTCCAAGGACTCTTAGTTTAGTTTCTTACTGCTGCAGTTGTTTTTTTGTATACTCAATTTGTATACTTAATTTTGAGTATTCAGTTGGTTGTAACTTGTATAGTTGTGATTTTAAAGTCTGCCAGGTTTGGTCATTTCTAAACATTACAAAGGGTTGAAATGTGGATACATGGGATCCTCTGATTCTTTTACACTGACTCATCCTCCTGACTTGCCATGATTTTGTGTGCACACATTCTTAGTGAAAAAACAGCCAGAATGACACGGTCAATTTAAACAAAATGATAATTGCTGTAATATCTTTCATCCAGAAGACTCTCTAAAATATAAAAGCTGACATTTTCAAGCCAATATTGGGAATTTGGGACCTCATCTTTCTAAAGATGTATGACTAAATCCCCTGCATTAAACATTCCAAACATAAAATACATACACACACATCTAAAGCACTTCACTCAGCAGTGAAACTTTGCAGTGATTTATTTAATTGTTTCTATGCATCTTTAAAGTTCTAGGCCAGTATCAGAGATGATTCATAAGGGGATGTAAGACGCATTCTCTCACCCTCAGTTTGACTCGCTTAGACTGATTTACTCCCACTCTTTACATTGTGTGAGTGAGTGTAAGGGAGTCTAAATTGATGCAATTTACATATTGAGGAGCAAGGAGGTGGTATAAATTAAAGAAGGGGGTGGCTTGCTTTAACTTATACTTTCTAACTCCCGCCTGATGATTGCTTTTTGTGCATTCGTACACTTCTCTCTCCTTTCTCCTGAATGTGAGAATTAAACACATTTTGACACTCAGTGTAATGGAGTATGTGAGCCATGTCCAAGGGTGATGGATAAGGAGACAAGACTATCAGTTACATGTGTAAGAATGTAAAAGTGAGTCAGTCATTCTGAGAGAGACTAGGCTGGTGTTGTGAGGGTAAGCAAAAGAGTGTGTGACTACTGCTAACTGAAACTTGTAGGCATGCTGGGTGAATTTCTAGCCCTGATAAAACAAGTACAAGTTTTGCCTTTGACTTCAGTGAGGCCACATTTCCACCCACTTTGACTTACATATGGATATGCTCCCCTTTTGAATTTTCCCTGCTTGTTCTTATATTAACTTTATAGTATTTGCATAATTCAACCTCAGTATGTTTTATGTGCCTTGGTTTTCTTATAGGACATCTGTAAGATTCTGTCAGCACTTAGTGCAGCTTAGCTTAATATAAAATGAAGTTTCTCAGTTCATTTTAAGACCTTCATGGTCCAGCGCATATGAATTCCATCCTGGAAATTTTCCCCTGACTTACTCCAAATTGATCTCTTTTTCAAAGAGGCACCTTACATGATGTTTGTTCCTAAAATATTCAACATGTAAGAGATTGTAAAGAGAGCTGCTGGCCTGAACATTAGTCAGAAGACTTTATATCAGTGTAATTAAATAGCAGCATGACAGGTCAGAAAACTCTAGCGTAAATAGGAACAAGGATCCCTTTCAAACCAAAATGAGCTGATATATGGGAATATTTGTTTCTAACGACTGAATCATAGAATTAAAGTGACTTCAAGAATCATCTACTCCAGCGGTGAGCAAAATACAGCCCTCAGGCTGGAGTCAGCTTGTCAAGTGATTCTATCCAGCCCATGGCAGGTCCCTCAGCCCCACTCAGCTTAGGCGCAGGGGACAGCCCAGGCCTTGGTGCATGTTGCTGGTCCCACTGTCCCCAGGGATGCAGGTGCCGCCTGGTGCAGAGCACAGCCTGCCCTTTCCCCTGCGTGTGGCAGCCAGACTTGGCTTTCCAGCAGTCCCTGTGGCAGCAGCTCCCTTTGCCCTCACACTTCTAGCTGCCAATGTCTCTGCTGCCACCGCCAGACCCAGCACTACTGCCCAGGCACTCTGGTACATCTGCCCTACATCTACTGCCAGGGGCACCGGACCATGGAGACTGGCCCAGGACCCTGGCAGGCAGGGTGTGCTCAGCCAGGCAGTTGGGATGGGGCCATGGGCAGGCAGGGAGCAGCATCCAGGAGCGGGATGGGATCACAGGGCAGTGACAGCATGGGCCCATGGCAGAATTGAAATCTGCACCCACCCCCTCCCACTGCTCTCCACCAACCCTCAATGGCTCATGAAAGCTTCTTAAGTGGCTGTCCAGCCCAAACAATTGCCACCCTTGATCTACTTCATCCTGCTCTCCCACATGTAGGATTTGCTTTTCCTTCCCCATCATAGACAGATGCTTATTCAGCCTTCTCTTGTAAGCCTCTCATGAGAGAGATTTTACAGCTTCCCTAAGCAGCTTGTTTTATTGTCCTACTCTTGTCAGCTAAGAAAATTTTCTGGGATTTAATGTGTTTTGCTGTAGCTTAAACCCACTGCCTCTTGTCCTACCCTGTGGTAGTGGAGAGCCTTGTTTTTCTCCCTTTCCTTGTGGTAGCTATTTAAATATTTGAGGACTATCCAGTTCCTTTTCATTTTCTTTTCTCCTAACTGAACATGTCTTCATCCTTCAACCTTTCCTCACATGGCTTGCATTTTAACCTCTTTATCATCCTTGTCAGTTGCTCTCCAGTTTATGTACATTGTTCCTAAAACGTGGTGTCCAAAACTAGACACAGCGGTCCATCTACAGACTAATCTGTCAAGTATATTGGTTCTATTACGTTCCATGTCTTGCATACAGTAGCTCTGTTAATGTAATCCAAACTTGTATTTGAATTTTTTTGAGACCAGAATCACTTCATTTACTCATGTTGAGTTTATGATCCACCACAATTCACAGATCCTTTTTGGTAATGCTACTGCCAAGTCACTTAGTTACCTCTTATTCTGTACTGATTTCTTGAAGTGTTCTACTCTGTGTGTCATCAAGAAATTTCATCGAGATATTCCCTATTCCTGCATCCAAATCACTAGCAAAATGTTAAACAGTACAGGACTCAGAACAGACCCCTATAAAACCTCACCTGAGACCTCGTTTCACTCTGACATTGATTCAATAATAGTTACTGGGCACGTCAACACAACATGTGTACTGCAGGGTTGCCTAATTAGCTCCACAGTAAACATCTTGGTGTCTACACGTGTGGCCCTATTAGGTCACTGGAAACTAATAGACTCAACAGCAGGTTAGTACATGTAACTACAAGTACTATCCTACAGTGGAGTTTTTTTCATGCGCAGCAGCACACATGTAGATGTTGATGGCGCTATCTGGGGCACGAGAATGCTTCAGTGCATGGGCTGCCTGCCAGCTAGTGTGGCACTGGAGCACCCTCATGCCCTAGCCATCCCCTCCTTAGCACGTTGAATCAGGTCAGAGCAGCCCTAGGCTGGCAGGCTGACCTCTGTGGCCACCTGCCAGCTGGGGCTGCTTTTACCCAACTCAACATGCTGCAGTCCTGGGTGCACATACAAATGCAGTGCCTGAGAGCAATAAGCTCTAGAGCAATAGATGCCAGAGTTTATTGCTGCGCGTTGATATGCATATGTAGATGCATCCATTCTTTGTTTACTGTTATTCTGTCAGTTATATATCCACCTGATAATTCTATCTAGTCTACATTTGTCTACCTTATATATGAGAATGGCATGTGGAACTATGTCAAACACCTTACTAAAGTCCAGATATATTATTTCCATTTCATTCCACTTTTCAACCAAAATAGTTGCTCTGCCCGAGAAGAAAAGCAAAATTGCTTAGCGTAATTTATTCTTAACAAATCTGTTTGGCTGCTGCTGGTTTTCTCGATTTTCCATATATTTACAATTTGACTGTGTTACCAAATGTGCCCATTACTTTGGGGTGTGCTCATTTATTAGGGATAGTTTCTAGGGTTTGGTGATTCTGTCAATGTGCTGCTTGTGTTACTATACGGAACTGTATCTCTCCCTTCTGCAAGCCCTCACCCCCAATGGAGCTATCTTGCAGGACTCAATCTCAATGGGACTGGGTTCCTCCAGTCACCAAATCAGTCATACACACACAAATTAACGTGACACGCCTGACCTGGCTGGGCTGATCAGCATGGACAGGCTGACACCCTCATATGCCAAGAATCAGTTCATAAGAGCAACAATAAAATGCAGTCAGACACAAGCACACAGGTGAACAGAATCCCTCTGAATCCGGCTGGGTGTTCAGCTGACACCCTCATGGGCCAGCATTCAGTTCATAAGGGCACGTCTGAGTCAAACTGGGTCAATCAGCCTGTACAAGCTGATCCCCTTATGTGTTTCAAACTCAGCACGTCCCAATCTTTGGCCTCTTGATGAGCAGACCCCTCAATATTTTTGAGCTTCACAGGGATCTTTAGCTTAGGTAAAAGAAGCGTTGCTGCAGAGCACAGAAGGAAAGAGAAGCAGAGAAGGAAAAATATACCCAGTTACTACCAGTTTGACTATAAAAGTTATTTATTGCTAAGCATATGAAACATATAATAGTACTAGTAGTAATAGACATGCAAAAGAAAAACAAACACAAACAATGACAATACTACCCTGGTTTCACTAAGTATTTGGGGAAACTTAACTCAAGCTTAACTGATACAGTTCAGGTTCAGAAGTTTATGCCTAGAAAGAAGACAGAGAACGCTGGGATCTCACCTAGTCCACGGTACTCAGGCTGCAAAGCTGACAGGCACAGTCCATAGCGCAATCCTTGAAGAGAGAGACAAGCTGTTCTTCCAGCGTCCCAAGAATGACAGGGGATGGTGTCAGCACAGGAGTTTTCTTCTTCTTTCCTTTTCCTCTCCCTTTCTTC